AAGCAAAGACAGATCCCAGGCTGCAAAGAGCAATAGGAGATTGCAGTGATGATTTGCACGAGGCGTGCTGCAGTTAACCTTCAACCTACAGGGAGAAAAAGAAGGAGGACAAAGTCCTGGTGACCTGCTTGCACCAGCAGTTGCAACACTGGATGCAGCTGCGTGGCAGCTTTTCTCATGTAATGCTGCAACCAGAAGGAGCATTTACTTATCCCATCTTCCACTGGCTGTGGTGTTTAATATCCCACACAGTGCACTGCCAGGCCAACAGAGAGCTGCCAGCCCAGTGACTGCATGGCTCTCTCAGTTATTATGTGTAGCAATTAGAAATTCACACTAGTTTTGAGGAGTCCCCAAACCTTCATCTTTTGCAATCCAAATTTGCAGCCATTTCTCTGAAATCTGCATCAGCCCTGCTTGAAACAGCATCCAATGGGACAAAGCAAGCAGCGGGGCCTCTTGCCATGGCCACGGCAGCAGGGACAAACCTTTTGCCTTGCTCAAAGCCTAACCTTAAACCCTAGACCCTAAACCCCATCCCTAACACCTCTGCCTAAACTCTAATCCTAACCCTAACCCCAACTTCAATCCTAACCCTAATCCCAAATGTAACCCTAATCCCTAACTCTGACCCTATCTCTAAACCCCAAACCTAACCCAGCATAGCACAGGGATAGCAGTGCCTGCTTGCAGCCCTCAGGAGTGTTTCTTTACAGCAGATATTCAAGGCACTGCTTCTTTTTGCTGGCCTGGAGCTGAGCATCCCACAGTTAATTGCTGAACCGGGTACCCTACACAAATGCTTTGCCCCAACTAAGAACCACGGAACCAAGTGGAATTAGCCTGAATCAAGTATATGAGGAGTTGGAGTGCCAGCAGTGCACCCACAAGCACCACTTCCTTTAAATTGCTTTACGTAGTGCTTCCAGATGTGGAAAAAAACGAGTGGAAGTTGCCACTCACTGATGTTTTCACATCTGCTGGTTGAAGTGGCTGCTGTTGGTAATGAATTAGTGCTGGCGATGTGGCAGAGGGATGCTCTGCAGGGCTCCGTTGCAACAGAGGTTTTCTGTGTCATTTTTGCCCTTTTTTTCCATCTGCTTGGGAACAAAACCAGCTGCTCAGCCCCGCTCAGATCTCAGAGTGCTCCTTCACACACGGCCCCTCTGATTGCTTTTGTTCAGAAACAGTGAGGGCCACAAAGCTTCAAATCACTGTAGTATCTGACTATCTTCAGGGGGGAATTTATCTTGCTGGGAGGACAATTCTCCACTCACACAATAGCTCTGTGATTGCCACCCACAGAGTTTGCTCCCTCTCCAAATTCGCTCCCCTCTCCCAAACCTGAAACGGAGACATTCGCTAGCATTTAATCTCCCTATTTACACATGCCATCAGAAGCTGTAAAGGGAAAAGCCACACTCCAAGCCCTGCTTTGGAAGTCATGCCCTGGCCTCAGAGGTAAAATAATAAGAAAAAAACAAAGCAAATTAAATAAAAGTCAAAGCTGCAAGTGGTTGCCTGTTTGCTTTTCACATCTTGGCACTGCTTACACTTGGAAACAGCACATAGATCAATAAATATATCTGTATTTATACATGTTTATATATATACACACACATATATGGATACATATAACTTGAGAAGTCCAGAAGAGTGAACATAGCAGCTGATCCTGTAAACCCAAAGACTGCAGCCCCAAAGTCAAATCCTGCCCTGTGTGACAAGGCAGAAAAAGAGGGACCCAAAAGGCTCCCCAGAAGAAGGGAGGCAAATTGGATTCTGCTCCTACTTCAGCTTTTGTTTCTCTCTTGCACTGCATAGAACAAATGCAAATCTGCAGAAGCTGGGCTTATCCCAGTGCAAGAGATGCAGGGAGCAGCCTGTCCCATGGCATTTCCAGACCTTACACCAAACCCACCCAGCTCCCACAGCCATCTTGCTGAGTGAGAGCAATGCTGATTTTAGAATCAATTTGCTGAACCGCTCTGAACTTGCTGAGAACAGAAGCAGGCTGTCTTTATCAGACAGCTTCCGATTATTCAAGCCTGGAACAGCAAATGAAAACTTGCTGCTGAAGCAGAAGCTTCCAACCCACTTTTAAGTGCAAGTCTTCCCAACACGTTGGCCAACCCTGGACCCCCCCATGGTGCTCGTGTTGGAATTGTGTGTTAGTGTTTCTATTCAGGTGCAAGCTGACGGGTTTTCGTGGGGCACAGCAATATTTTCTCCTAAATAGAGAAGAACTTACTGCTCTCTGAATGAGCAAGGCATATTTTTTGATGTAGAGGCAATTCCGTTTTATCAGTGATTTTAAGTTGAGAGCAATATTTTTGCTCATCACTGTGAGTGTGTGGTCCCAGGAAATGGCAGGTATGTGTGTTGAAGCCAGCTACAGCACATCTCCACGTGTCTCTTTGGGGATCATGCACTGAGTTTCCATAATCATCAATACACACCATTTTATTCTGCCTTATTGTACATTCTCCAGGGTCTGCCCTGAGCCTGCTTTTGGAGCTCAGGGTCGACCTCCCTTCTCCGTGGTCCCTGCATCATCAAATTCCCACCCGAGGTCAATTGATTGCAAAGTTCACTAAGGAATAATGTGAATAATGTCTTTTCAAGGCTCTGCCTGGAGAAATGTGGGAAGAAAAAAAAAAGGTATGAAACCATTTCTGCAAAAGGAAAGAAGGAAAGCGACCCTGAATGGGTTGGTGCACGGGAGACCATGTCCTCTCTGAATGCAACCAAGGAAGAATTGAAAGGAGCCTTTCCAAATTCAGCAGCTGTAAACTTCCCACAGATTCATGGCCTGAGCACTCACTTCTGAATGATGGATAGAAACACTGATGCACAATTCCAACATAAAAACAATGGAGAGTTCCAGGGCTGCCAACATGCTTTGTTGATATGAGTTGGTGAAAGCACAAAAAGGCATTAATTCAGTGCCACAAAACCATGCTAACATCAATGGTCTTTCCAGTCTCACTAGGGAAGTGTTGTAAGCTAATGGTATGAAGAGCTTCTGCTGGGTAAAGTGCACCTCCACTGGGAAAGCCTGCTGTCACCTTATCTTCTTTGTGCTGATGCTCATCAAGCTGAATAGATCTGTAGAGGAAACAGCATTTCAGCTCAAAGGCAGGGAACTCGGCTTGATTCATTGCCAGAAATATCATTGCCCCTATTTGCTGCTAGAAAAGGGATCGTTGATGTGACTTTGGGCCATTTGTGCCACTCTGCAGCCAACAACAATTGACCAAGGAGCCTTGAGTAACCCTAAAAAAGCCAAACTCACAATGCATTTCAACGCACAAAGTCAACATCCCCCTTCTTACATCCTAGCCAAAAGAGCTGCAAGGGTTGTTGTGCTTGATAACTTGTGCATGCTTTATTTATTCTGCACAGCAGGCGTGAAGCTGGTTATATCTAAAGGGAGACAAAAGCAACCCAAATGGGCAGGATTACTTTTTTCTCCGCTGTGCCACTACAGAATTGATTTGACTGACAAGCTGTGAAATGCAGTTAATGAGCTTGGGTTTCTGTTGGCCCCGTTGCTACAAGGATGACAGTTCCTACCCTCTGATGTGTCAATTTCCCACTTCTAAAGTCAGCCAAAGAAAAAGAATATTAGCCGTGAAACTTAAGGAAGTATTAGCAGAGAAAGGAAGATATTATCAGAAATTTGAAGTAATTATCCTTCTTTGGAATAATCCTCGATAGGATGAACACAATGCCATGTAGTGAAAAGTGAGATGGAGGAAAAAAGAAGATGTAATTTACTCGACAAGCAACAGACTTCAGCTTTGGCAGAAAAATGTCATCTGGGTTTATGGAATAAAGAAACACAGAGCTTTTCCTGTTGTTTGGGTGGACAGCAAAAAGAGGGTTACGTTCTAGAGATATAAGTCAGCCCAGGGATAACGTGGAATTCACAAAGAAAGATAAAATTAATTTGATAGGGAATTAATTGAAAACTGTGATTATTTTTAGCAAGCAAGCTATCGGTGCTACTTAAATACCACAATTAAATACCTGGGCAGGACTGGGCTGGCCACTAATTTAGAGACTCCTTCAAACATAGGTCAGGAGGTGACTGGTCCAGAGCTCTCCAGCAGAGCACACGATATCACACTGCAACAGAGCAGCTTCCATCCCAGCCCCCCTCCTCAATGCAGTGCAAACCACCACCGACCACACGTGGCATGAAACAAGATGTATTGGGAAGCAAGGATATTTTCAGCCAGTAACACGGGAGCAAAGACAATACGGGCTTCCCGATCAGTATTAATTTGAGATGCAAATGCTGAGCAATTTTTAAAAGCAATATTGCAAGGCAGTGGAAGGGAGTGCTAGCTTCCCAGTGTTTGATTTTAATAAGCGAATCAGCTCAAATCAGTGGGAGGGGAGGCTGTTATGGGGGTCATTAGCATGCAAGGCACACACACACCAGCAGGAAGGCTCTGTAGACCAGCACAGAATATTCATCCAAAGCATCTTCCTCACTGAGAGAGCATTGGTCACAGCTGAAAAACCAACTGAGCTGTCACTGAGTTTGTCAGTGGACGCCAGCCTGGGCTGAGCATGATGGATGAGCTACGTCCCCATTTGCAGGCATTTGCTTATAACATAGCTTATAAACTCCTGCAGCCTCCAGCTCCTTGCTGGGGTCTTGTACCAGATCTGCAGGTTGGTGGCTCTGCCTGGAGCAGGGGGGTTGGAACTCGATGATCCTTGGAGCTCCTTCCAATCCAAGCCATTCTATGATTCTGCTGGCATTCTTGCTGCCCCAGGAAGAAGGCAGCAGCTTCCCAACGATGTGGATAACTGGCTGCCAGCTCTGCAATCTGTACACATAACTTTTCCCCATTACTGTCCACTGGCCGAGCTAAAAGCATTGAGGGGCACACCCTTACTGTAATTCATGGTAGTGACTCATTAGGATACGTTAATTTCCCTCCTTGAAACCAACCAGACCAACCCGGCAGCAGCGCCAGCCTTACTGTCTTCAGAAGTGTCCGGTTGTCCCTGAGGCTCCCCACCATGCCGACAAAGGAGACGCTGAACATGGTGAAGCCCAGCAGGAGCAGGATGATGGCTGGAGCGAGGAACATCCCTTCCAAGGTTTTGTGCTTCTGCCTCTCCACTTCGGCATAAATCCCAATGCACAGGATCACGAGGCCGATGATCTACGAGAAAAGTGTGAGCCGTGCATCAGATGCCAAAGGGAAAAAATCAGAAACTCTGAGGAAAAGGTGGAGGTGGAAGAGATCCCAGAGGAAGAAAAATGTCCAGTGTACTGCTAGATAAAAACATAACACGATGAGCGAGCTGATGGGTCAGACCCAAAGGGTGACTGATAGAAAATGGGGTTCCATCAGGGTTCCATCTCCCTCCATGGCAGCCCTACATCTCCCTCACAAAGGAGCTGCATTTTGCAAGGTTCTTCCTTTCCCCATCTCACCCAATGCACCTGGCTGCTCAAGCTGACCCTTGCCCTGGGTTTACAGACCCTGGGCTGTATACAGCAATACTGCCAGCCTATAGACCAGTCCTCCAAATTACTCATTTCACTCCAGCACCTCCCTCAAGCACCACCTTGTACCAAAACCCACGGCAAGCCACTCGGTCTTTGTGTCATGGATGAAAAACATCATCAAATGTAGCAACGGATTATTTATGACCATCTTCCTCCCCTCCCTCCAATAAAACAGCCCTAATTGAAAAAGAGAGCCCAAGGGGGCCAGGATAAAACAGGGCTCTGAAAAGGGCTATTTTCATCTCTTTGGTTCCTACAGATGAAAGCCAACACGGAGATTCCAAGTGCTCAGAGCTGTCAGAAGCCATTCCCAGCACAACCAGCATGAAGCTGACCCCCGGAAAGGTCAGAGTGGAAAGCAAGGAGCATCCCAAGTGATTTTCCTGCTGCTTTTTGCAGCTCCACCATCCTGCATCTCAGTGAGAAAATACTGCAGGAAAGCCTCAGCTCAACGAGGAGAAAACCTCCTCTTCTCACTCCTTTTTCCATTGCTTTACCTTTCCAAGAGGCTCCATTTCCCCTTAACGAATTCACTCAAACCCTTCTGGTTAATTTGTGTTGCCGATTCAATCCTTAATTTTCCTGCACAATCCTTTCGGAGGAATGATTTATTTTCTTCTCTACTCTGGCTGGACTCTATTTGTGGAGTTACTGTACTCAGTTTATGTTTAGCCATCCCTGTCCGCTCCCAGGCTACATCTCACTTACAGAGAAACTGAAATCTCCCAGAAAGTCAAGCCCAGATCTGTGATATTTGCAGACTGTTCAGCTGCAAATATCTAAACAGGTGGGCCTATTCCTGATAACAGGCTTTTCATCCATTTCCTTCTTTATCCTTTATTTTAAGCACCAGCTTGGCTCACTGGGATTAGGCTTGATGTAATGCTTCTCTCTTACAGCACATCCCAGGAGTTAGATGTGCACACTATGCTTGTAATCTCCACTGCTCCTCCTGCATGCCAATCAGAAACACTTTCTCCTTTTTAATTCATGATCTGTGATGCAAATTAGGGAAGAGGCCAGGAAAACATATAAAAGAAACCCAGGAGTGGGGCTGAGGGCTGCGCACTCAAGGGACAGATGACGCATCTTACACAGCCTGGGCTTCATCTGCTACCAAGGGAAAGAAAACAAGGAGGGTTTTCAGGATGCATTGCTTAACAACAGCCTTCCCAGGGCTGAACTGTTTGGGTTTCCCAGGGCTGAACTGTTTGGGTTTCCCAGGGCTGAACTGCTCCTTGAAACATTCCAAGCACGTGGCATGCAGGAGTCCTTCCTCCCAGCATCACCACAGTCCCAGACAACCCTGAGCACACACCTCCAAATTTTCTCTTACCCAAGACTAACAAGTGAACTGGAAGAACCAAAATTAGCAAATGCTCAGCTGCTCTGCCTGAATTTCTCACCTCTCTCTGCTCAGCTCTTGGCTTATGAAGTCCCCCAGCATTCTGCAACCCGTTCTGCTAAGGGTCGCCACTGCAGGCTGCAACTTCTAGTTAGAAATGAGATGAGTTGCTGCTCCTCAAAGCACCTTCAGGCATGAGAAGGCACCTCACAGAACAACGCACACCCTGAGGAAAGGGATGGATATACCAGAACCTCTCCCAGCAATGGGAGACTGCAAGGAATTAACAGTGAAGCCAGGAATATAATGAGTTTCCTAAGGACAAGAGGGCATTGATGCTCTAAGGACAAGAGGGAACTGAAGGGTGGCAAAGGGATTTTAATGAAAAATAGCTGGAGAAAAAAATTCCCTGAAAGCAATGTTTCTACTGAGAAACAGTGGATTATGGAGCAAATTGGAAGTGCCAAAGCCTTTGCTGGGACCTGTGCAGCAACATGCACTTCACAAATGAGCTCATCAGCAGAAGAAGAGCACTGAAAGCAGCAGGAAGAGATGGCACCACTGCCTGCAAAGCCTGGCTGCTCTGGTTTCCATCACTGGGTTCATCTTTGGAGGGGTTGTTTTTGCCATATGAATTCAGCCAGCACAGATCTTTCTGATTCCTGGCATCACAGCTGCTTTCTACCACACGCGCTCAGTGAGTGCTAAGGTACATAATGAAGTCTGTCAGTAAACCCTCTGTAGTTACTCACCAACTGCCCGGTGATCACCTTAACGCAGTGCAAACTCCGAGGCAGCCAGCAGCTGCCCATAATGAGCGCTCTGCAATGCATCCAAGAGAAAAAGCAAACCTTCACTTACTGTCTAACGAGAGGATGATTATCCCAGTTCTGCATAATCACTGTGGGATCAAACTGCCACTGTGGAGAAAGACAGTGCTCTATCTGATGGCAAAAAAAAAAAAACAAAGAAAAAAAGAGCAGGGGGATTCTGAGGGCAGAATCCCTGCCAAAGCAGAGCAACCTCGCAGCCTGCCAGGGGCCAAGCAGCAGGCATGGCTCTCCCCAGGGTGATCAGCATTAATGAGATGAGTCAGTGTTAATGGCAGGCAGTAATTTCTCCTCATTCAGGATCACCGAAAGTGGATTCAAACCCAGGCAGACAGGTGATGCGTCCCAGTTTGGCTGGGATAGGGTTAATTTTCTTCTTAGCAGATTGCATAGTGCTGCGCTTTGGATTTAGGATGAGGACAGCATTGATAACGTGCTGATGTTTTAGTTACTGCTGAGCAGTGCTTATGCTAAACAAAGAACTCAGGTTCTCATGATGTGACAGAGGGGACAGGGGCCGAGGGGACAGAACCAGAACAGCTGACCTGAACTGAACAGATAAAAGAGACCAGAAAAAGGGCACAAACATTCTGCCTACGGAGGCGACTCTTGTCAGCCACGAAGGGGAGATATGCCTTCAAGGAATACCTGTTGTGTTTCCCAAACAAATGAATACCTGTGGAGAAAGGTGCCTGGTACCAGAGGGAATTGGCTGTTCTGGAGGAGATGTGTGATTTTGACCTGGTCAACGAGCAGCCATCCCAAGATTCAGATGCCTACCAACCCAACTCACTGGCACCAATGGCCTGGAAACACAGAGAGAAGCCAAAGGTGGATGACACAGCTGTCATGCCTCAACAACACAAAGAAAATCTCCCTTCTGTGTGTTGGCTGTGGACAAACATTCCCAAGAGCTTCAGCAACTCAGAGAGAATCTATCTTCCTTCCCACCAGTACAGAGCAGTAGCTCATCCATTAGAAGTAAGAATTCCTCTGCTTGAAAAAGGATATAGTGAGTACGCACCGTGATGCTTACTAATTTCCTTCCTTTTCTGTCCTGTTAAACTGTTTTTATCTCAACCCATAGGTTTTGCCTTTTGTTTCCGCTCTCCCCATCCTACTGAGGCGGGAGGAAGCACTGACTGCATTCAGACATGGAAAAACAGAATGCTCCCGTTTGAAATCAAATTGAAAGCAGAGCTACTCCACCTCTGACAAGCAGCCAGGACGATGAATGGTGTTAAATCTGATGGTATAAAAGCAGCCAGGAGGCCTGTGGCATGCTGGCTGTCACACACCTTCTGCCTCTCATCACATAAGCACAAATATCCAATGCCTGGCAGATGCAATCCAGAGAAAATAAAAAAACAGGGCTACCTGCAGGGTAACAGACCTCTTTTGCTTATTTTGTTGGAATGTAGACCAGGTCTCCAGCAGCTCTGGGAGATGATGAAACCCTCAAGGGGGAAATGGAAGGTAATGCAATGGGCTGTAATGGTCTCACAGCAGTGTTCCATAGGAAGCTCCAGCCCAACACACAGCTCTCCAACCTCTGGGCAATTGGCTCCATGCAATGGTTTCAAGCCACTCTCTGGTTTACCCTACACTCCTTTGCTGATTTTCCCAACTATATGTATTTACTTTCATTACAGAAAAGGGCTGGAGAGGATCCAATGTTGTTCTTTTCTCCGTTGAACCAATTCCCTGCAGGCTGGATAGAAAACCACATCACCTCCTCTTCCAAGTCTCCTCGGTCCTTCCCAGTGAATTATTCTGAATGCTTCTCCATGGGAGGTGCTACGTTTTCAAGGCCTTCACTCAAAGCAACACGACGTGTCTGCACAGTAATTACTATCGAGTGCATTTGGCTGCAGCAAAACAGCCCCCCGTCACGTCTGGTTAATGAGATGGGAGAGCTGCTGGATGGACACAGTCACTGCGTGCATCTCCAGAACTGGGTCAGGGGGCTGGAAAGGCCGTGAGATCTGTGTGGATTCAACAGAGCAATGGCCAGCACAGGGACTTCCCTGGGGTCCACAGGGAGCACACGCATTCCTGGTTAAAGGCAGGCTGAGTCAGAGCCATTCCAAATCATCTTTTTGCAGCTACTTCTCAGTTAATGAGGAATTACTGAGACTCTTCTTGCTCGCAGGCTGGACCAGCCACACACTGCTGTGTCCCCCCAGACTGCCCTGTCTCACTGTGCACCCATCCATCAGTGCATGGCATTGCACATCCCCTCGCTAATCTGCATTTGCAAAGCACAGCCAAGAGCTACGGTCAGGCAGCTTGGAATTAAAACAAAACAGCACTTCTTCCTCATCCTTACGGCTGCTTTAAGGCATTTCCAGGAAAGCAAACCTCAGATCCGTGCAGGAAACAAAACCCCAGTGACAGGGGGTGGTGATGAATCTCTCACTCACACTCAGAGGTGAGCACAAGTCGTGAGACGATGCAGGCAGTTCTCCAACCCCAGGAGACAGAGCTGCCCTCCCATGAGCTCACCGACAGAACAAACAAATCAATAAGGGGCGAGGGAGGCATTTTCAAGCTTTGTTTGCAACCCTATTTACTCTTCAACCTGCCCAGGAACACCAGAGATATTTGTGTATTCAATTACTCTGAAACAATTAGGCACGCATGTCACTACACACACCCAGGCAGCACGAGTGCATGGGGCAAAGATGATTAATTAGCTGTCAGGAGGAAATACCTGTAAATACTATGGACTGGACTATGCAAGGTTAACCCTAGGAAGGTGCCAAGCTCACATGGAATTTGTTAACCAGGGGTGCACAGAGCTCTGGTGGGGGGATTTCCTGCTGATTCCCCGGGCCTCAACACATGCTTACACCTTCCAGCTGCAGGGGAAGCCTCACCCCATCACATCTGCCTCAATGATTTGAAACTGCTTAACGATAAGAGTTACTTTTCCTCTCATAATAACCAGCCTGGTCCAAATAACCACCGCTGCCACATCCACACCAATGGGTTCTGCCAGCTGCTCCAGCCCCATCCCCATCAAAGCACGTGAAGGGAATAGAACAGCACTGCTGCCCGGTGACCCCTTGAGTGATCAAAGTGTTAAATCTGTGTTTGCTGAGTGCTTTGAAACACTGCTCGCTGCCACAGGGCATTTCCAGGAGCTGCTCTGGGGGTGGGCGGTCCGAGGACGGCGCTCTTAAACGCATCAAAAGCTGCAGTTTTCCCTACTATGGACCAGCTGGGACCCTTTTTTTCTTTTTTGCTGATGTAAGAGGGACTCTGCGAAACACACAGCACAGCACCAGGTTTTATAGTAGAGATTTGATTCCTGGAAGGAGGAAATTTAGACACTGGAACGTGGAAATTGAACCCATGGGGGTGGCACCGTGGGGAACAACAGCAGGAAAAACAGCAAAGCAACCCGAGCACCTACCGAGAAGAGAGTGGCATAGGTGGACAAAGCGAATTTGACGCTGTAGTAATAGAGGAGGGAGTTTCGGCACTCGGAGCCCTGCGCCATCCCGGGGCGGCCGCTCGCTGCCTGCCAGACCCTCCCCGCTCCGGCTGCTGGGGAGCGCAGACATGCGCCCGATGCTGCTGCACGCACCACCAGCCTTCAACTTGAACTGCTTCCTCCTGGCAGGGACCCAGCCTGAAAGAGGGAAGGCAGAAACGCGAACAGTCGGAGTTAACCCTTTGCTGGCGCCTGCTGCTCGCCTTTGTTGCCGAGATCGACGGCGGAGCTCCGTGCGGGAAGGTGGACGTTCTGCCGGGGTCTCCGGAAAATTGTTAGTGGGGTTGCAGGCAGGATCTCTTGGCATTCCAGGAGTGCTGGCAGAGCTGGGGGTGATCCTGCAGTGATGTGTCGTGTAGCAGCAGAGAGCGAGCGGCAGCTCCAAATGGAACAGAAATGGAGCAGATTTCCGCCAGGCGATCGTTTGGAGCTCGGTGCTGGAGAACAAAGTCCGTGTTTGCCTGCTGCAGATGGGGCAGAGCCTCTGCCTCAGCTCTGCCTCGAGCCTGCAGCTGCCTGGGTAGGAACATGGAAACAGAAGAGAAGGTGTGTGGAGTGGGAAAGCAGCAGCGTGAGACCATGCGGGAGGGGTCTCCATATCAGCCTCCACAACACGGCTGTGAAAATGGAAAACGGGAGAGAAGATTCATGTTTAACAAAAAGAGCAAAAGTGAGGCTGGAGGAGCTGGGAAATGGATTAAGGAAATGGTGGATGGATTAAGGGAAATGCAGCCACTGCTGTGATGTTGCTTCCTTGATGCTGGGAAGCACTTGGGATCAGCAGCAAAGGGAAAAACCTTCATTTCTGCAGTGTGCTGCAGTTTGGAGAAGTAAAGAAAAAAGCACTGCTGTCCACTGCATGGTTCATTGCCCTGGGAAATGTGTTAAAAAGCCCCATCAATTGATGGGAAGGCAGCAGAGGTGCAGTGCTTCTCTCTTGCAGAGAGAAAAGGAGAATTATAGTGAGGTTTGGAGAAGTGCTGTGACTCAGGGCTGCACCCAAATGCTCGGCCCCATATTTACCCATCTATGGTGCTAGAGTTTCTCACATCAGGTCTTAGGAGATGAAGAGCAATTCAGCACAGCAAAAGAGCATACCCCACAGTCCTTTTGGCTCACCATCCTGCTTTCAGTGGTTGTTACACAGGGACAGAGTGGGCTGGCTTTGGCGGTGCGTTGTCTCCCCTGATGGGATGGGCCATAGAATCACAGAATCAAGGTTGGAAAAGATGTCCAAGCTGCCCAAGTCCAACCCCAACACATCCCATGGCTCTGTGTAGCTGTGCCAATGCATCACCACTCTTAGAGAAGCATTTCCTAATGCCCAACCTCAACCTCCCCAGCACAGCCTGAGGCCTTTCTTACTGTTGTTACCTGGGAGAAGAGGCCATTGGCTTCAGTCACTCATCAGCCCATCCAGATCTCTCTGCAGCACTTTCCTGCCCTCACACAGGCCAACCCTTTCTCCCAACGTTGTGTCATCTGCAAACTTTGATGCGAGGTTTCTAAAGCAGTGGCATTTGGCTAATGCTTTATTTAACATTTTAAAGCCTGAAGCTCTCAAGCTGCAAGTGGGAGCCATTCTTATTTCTTGGGCAGTGCATACACCAAGCTGCCAGCTTCCAAATTAAATCACTGCATTCTGTAAGCCCAACATTTAAGCTACATTTATATACAATATTAAGCTACATTTAACCATCAGCTCCCACCTAACATGTAGCCCTTCCCCACGCCGAGTCGTCTCAGCTTTGCTGTCCCCCTCCTGTAGCATATGAAATCATTTAACAGATGCACCAGCAAATGAAAAGACTTTCCATGGCGCAATTGCATCGCTTGAATGACAGCTTGGCCTGCATTTTCCCAGGCAGGCAGCAATTAAAGTGGAAATGTTAATCTGTGCTGCTGCAAACCACGGCGCAGCTGGCTCAATACCATCGTGAGCAGCCATCAAGAATAAAGTGAGCAGTGGGGATGGGAGGAGAAATCGTTCTGAGGAGTTAAGATAATAAGCAAGCAGCGCTGGGTGGTGATGAACAGGAATAAAACCGAAGCATTAATGTGCAATTTTCTGATTTGTAAAACTCTGATTACAGGAGGAGGGCGAAGACTGGGGCTGGGGGATGCCAGGCTCAGCGTCATGCTGTGCCCATGCCAACGGCACAGAGATGTGCAGCAGAGGCATTTCTGGCTCCTAGGGTTCAATTGCACTTGAGCATCCTCCTGGCTCAGCCAGTTCTGTAGAGCATCACTTCTAATTGCACAGCACAGAGCTGTCCTTCACAAACCTGCGTTCTCCCCTTGAGAACCAAGCAATGCTCTCAGCCTCAGCAGCCTGAAGCCCTGCAAGGAAAGCAGAGAGGGCAGGACAGCATCACATTCACCATGTCTGCAAGGTTCACGTGTGCCAGGAGTTTCTGCCTTTTCCCTGCAGCTCCTAAAGGTCCCATTCACTGTGTTCACTTTTCTCTGTTGTTCTCCTTATTTTTAGCCATCTTTGTGCTCAAAGCCCCAAAGACTCTGCTCCAAAGCCCGAAGTCGCTGACATTCTCCCTCTTCATTAAAACACCTGGCTAATTAACCCACATATAAATCAAATCATAAACTCATTACACAGGTTCCCTGCGCTAGGGATAACTAAGAACTTAAAACAATCCTTCTGTCTCTCAAACCCACCACGTGTTGAGGGTCCAGAAACACTGATGGAGGCCCTTCTGTCTCTCAATCCCACCACGTGTTGAGGGTCCAGAAACACTGATGGAGGCTCTGCTGGGCTTTCCTACTGTCCCTAATTCTCATTCTTGTGCTCAGATTTGGTCTCTTCCATTGGTGTTTCATGCCTGGCCCTGGCACACCAGCCTAAGTACGCTAAATAACAAAGCCATGGGACTGCAGAATTGACCCAGCAGCTCAGGGTTGGGAGTGGAGGAGGAATTCTGCAGCTCCTTTTTCCAAAGGACTCCAATGGATTTAGTTTTTAGAGGATTATCCTGAGCACATATACTCCGTGTTGTTGCTTTTTCCCTTATTTGTGCATATTTTCTTTTTTAAAAATCAAAAATCTTCCTGGAAGGTCCTCGAGCTTGTTATGATCACCCAGCACAGAGCCAATGCAATCAGGCAGCTGTGATTTCAACCGTAGCAAACATCCCTCCTGTGGTTTGCTTGCATTTTGGGAGGGAAAGTTTCCATGTGGGGATTGAATGTGCCATCACAAAAGAAGGCAATGGGTGGGAGAGACGCTGTGTCTCATTCAGCAATGCATCACTGCTGCTGTCACAGAACTATTTGGCAGCTTTGGTGCTCAGCACACCGTTAAACCACCAACACACAGCCTGGGAACCAGAGAAATTGCTGCTGCCTCATGCTCAGCTGCATGCAGGAGACACGCAAGCTCTTCCCAAACTCCAACCTGTGCCAACACACTCCAGCCCTACAGCAATAGAGAAAACCCAAACCTCAAATGCAATAACAGCTTTAATTTGCAGAAGTTATACATGGCTCAAGCACCAGTGCAGCTTCTGTTCTTTCTCAACCATGCAATCCAAAGTCAGAGCCCTGATGATAGGCAAGCATCCCCCAGCCCTGCTGTACAACCTGTGATGCTGTGATTTGATGATCCCGACTCTGCTCCCACCCCCAGGCCTCCAAGAAGTTAAGAACCTGAGCAGAGTCCTCTTGCTCCCAACCCCTCTCAATTTCACACTGCACTTGTAGCAAACATCAGACTCTATAACATACCTCAGAGGAGCATCTGAAGCCACCAGAAGCAAATGTGATTAATGGGGAGGAAGAAAAGTCCCCACCCTGGGTTGACTTAAAAGCTAAAAAGCCAAACTCCAGTCTGAGCTCTACACTGCAGCGTTAAGCACTCTGATCAGCCACCCTGTAAGGAGAAAAGCCATCATGTCATGGTAGAAAACTATCCTAGCCACAAGTAGGAGCAGATTTTGGTGTGACGCCATCTCTCCAAGCTTGCAATTTATCTCCATTCATCTACAAAGCAGCCTGAAGCCAGGTGCCACCAACTCCTAGCAGTGTCAGGGTCTGTTTGTTGGTTATCCCATGAAGGAAAAAGATTTACAACCCTGCACCAGATCCCTGGAGGAAAAGCCACCAGTCACACAAATTTGCCATTATAAAACCATTTTGCATGCAGCATCAACAGCACGATTTAGCCTGCTGACAACCCTCTGCCCCCATGAAACATCTGCAACTTCTGCACCCGATGGAAAAGGTGGGACTGCAAGAGCTGCATCGCCTTCCCAACCCCACAACACTTCAGTTTCCCCCCAAATCTGAAATTCAGAACACAGAGAGATGGGATCCATCCTGCAGATGGGATTGGGGTGGCCAGGGGGATGGAGCAGTTTGCTGGTGGAGCTTCAGAACCATTTGCAAATTGAGGCAAAACCAGTGAGCACAAGGCCAAGCTCCCACATGGCCTTCCCATCAGTGCTCCCCATTGCAGCCCACTAGAGGTCAATAGTGCCCATGCCAAGAGCTGCCTCCTCCACTGCAGCACCGCCAGTGAAAGCACCGATGGTTTAAAACCCCCCAGTGCTCACTTCAACCAAGAGACACCAAGTCCCCAAAGCCTCTGCACAAATACACTGAGCAGATGCTAAGCCGCACTGAGAATAGATAGAACAGATCCCCAGGAACAAAAATTGCTTCTAGATAGATAAACACTGCTCAGTGTCCAACAACAAAGCATTTTCCTTTGAGGTGTGCAATCAGAGGCGCAGCACCCAGTGAGCTCCAATTGCTGCCAGTAGTCAGCCAGCAAAAACAGTGTGATGCCGCACATGATGCTGAGGTTTGGCATTGGTTGTAGTGCTGGAACAGGGACCAGATCCCTTCCCTTTGTTGTGACAGTTTACCATAAATGTATGTTTTCCAGCATCGGTCTCAGCTTGAACTCACAGCACAAATGACTCATTTCTGCTGCAGGAAAAGCAGAGTTTGCAGGAGGAACCTCAGTTAAACAACAACTGAGGAAAAAAAAACACCAACACAACAAAGAATCACATATAAATAAAGGAAATCAAGGAGCCAAGGGCAGAGTGACGCCGCCAGCCTCAGACAGCACAGCTCAGGGCCATGCCAAACACCAGCACAACCCCCACCACCACTTCTGAGTGGGAGACACCAGCTGACAACTGGATCTACCTACAAATCAACCCCTGCAGCCCCTTTCGTTGCTCCTCCAATCCTTACCCATCCCAGTGGCTTTCCCCTGTGCTCAACACCCAGCGAAGTCATGAGGGCCTTTTCCATCTCTTGTCTTCAGGAGCTTTATCCATCCTGACGGCTGCTGGAGCTGCTCACAATACAGTTATCTAATCAAGCCCTTCCTTCAGCAGCGTCTGGTGAGGGAACAGCAGCAAAGCCTGCACGGCACTGGGAGGATTCTGCCTGGGCGCTGCCCTCGGTTTACTTCCAGCCCAGGAGAGACATGAC